GGCTGCACATTAGCATCACCTGGGAATCTTTAAAATCCTGATTTCTGGGCCTCATCCTCGGGAAATTCTGTTTCTTTGTTACTCATGTTGTGGCCCCGCCCCATAACAAAGAAACAGAATTTCCGGAGGACGAGGCCCGGAAATCAGGATTTTAAAAGATTCCCAGGCGACTCTGATGTGCAGCCAAGGTTGAGAACCACTGGGCGAGGGTGTTGGCGATGGTTTGGAATCCGTTCGCTTCCACGCGTCTTAGAGGCGCCAGTGCCTGTTCCCACCTGTGTTCACTCCGTCACTGAAATGGACGCAGGGAACGCGGAAACCGTCGCCTGCTCGCCACCTGGGGGCAGTCCCGGCTTCTCGCTGCCGCAGCGTCACTCTGTCTGTCCGACCCTCTCCCCCGGGGCAGGGCTGCTGCTGAGTTCCTGTCTGTGGTCTGGAAACACCTTTGTTCCGTCGGCAGACGGGAAGGGTGCTGTGCCGGGTGCAGAATTCTAGGTTGACGGGTTCTCCGTGCTTTTCCGATGCCCCCCCCCCCCCCCCCCCCCCCCCCCCCCCGCGAGAGCCCCTGCCCTGTCTGCACATCCCTCTGCCCTGACTGCTCTCAGACTTTCTGTCACAGCTTCTACGCAGCTTCACTATGAGGTGCAGCTTGCGGTTTTGTTCCTGTTTCTTGCATTTGATTGAGCTTTTATCCATGAGTTCATAGTTTTCACCTGATTTCGTGAATTTTCAGCCAAACTTCTTCCCAGAGTTTGTCTCTCCCCACTTCCCTTCAGGAGCTCCAGTCGCGCATGCGTTAGCCACTGGGAGTTGTCTCACGGACAGCCAATGGTCTTTTTTTAAAAAAATTACGTTTTTAGAGAGAGGAAGGGAGAAGGAGAGAGGGGTGGAAACATCAACGATGAGAACGAATCATCGATCAGCTGCCTCCTGCACACCCCGTACTGGGGATCGAGCCCGAAACCCGGGCATGTGCCCCAACTGGGCGTCAAACCGTGACCTCCTGGTTCGTGGGCCAACACTCACCCAGCTGAGCCACAGCAGCCAGCGCCAATGATCATTTTTACGACAAAACATTTTCTGTTCTGTTTCTCGTCTGGGCAGCTTCTGTTACTAGCCTTCGAGCTCAGGAATCTTTTCTTCTCCCACGTATCGGAATCGCCTTTAATGCCACCTGGAGTGTTTTCCATGTGAGACCTCATAGTTTCCAAGTCCAAAGTTTCAATTTGTGTCTTGCGCCTCCTTCCCTCCCTTTCCCCCCTCATCCGTCTCTCTCTCTCTCTCTCTCTCTCTCTCTCTCTCTCTCTCGTCCTTGGCTGCATTCGAACCTCAGGCCCTTCAATCCCCGGGCCGAAGCACTATCCACTGAGCCAAACCAATCTACACTCTTCTCCTCTCTTTTTTTTAGGGCCTAAAGTAGAGAGTTTCAATCACCTGCTTTTTCTGGTAGATTCAACTAAGACCACTTGTTGAGGTTGAAGCACTCACATTTGCCTCTTGTTGATCACTGACAGAAAGAATTTAACAAGGCCCCTGGAGTTACATTGTGAAATCCCTACATGAGGAGAGAGAAAAGGAGAATATGTCATTTCTTTCCATGTCTCTAATATTCAGAAATATTCCCCTGAGAAAATTGGGGAGAAGAGACAGGGAATAAGGTGATGTGTGCCTGGCTCCTGAGAAGCCTTCTCAGACTCTGAAGGAATCACAGGAGAACTCCCTGTGGACTAGAAGGCATCTGCTCAGCCTCGGTCTTGAAGAAAGTCTTGGCTTAACAGTCCTTTTCCAGAGAGCGGGTTGCCTAACTTAGTGAAGAAGTTGCACCATGGGTATGTTTTCCATCCCATTCCTCTGACCTCATCCTCTTAGATTTCTTCTCCGCAAAGCGAATTGAACGTTGTATCTCAGACTCAGGCTCACAAACCTCTCGGATGAGTTGTCACACCTGTATCCTACTCTCACCTCACCCAGCATAGCCACGTGCACATGTTTATCTAGATGAAAAGATGGTGAGAACATCAAGAGAGCATATTGGGAGAGCTATGGGTATATTGACTGCTTATTATCTCATCCTAATCTCTGATTTATTATTGCAGTTCTTCCAGAGCAGACCACAGAAGACCCCGGAGGCTTGAAATAGTGTACAAGTTGGGGAATTGGGATGTGTTCCAACCGTAAAGTGAAAGAGAGGATGGAAGGAGATGAGGTTGGACAAAGGGGTCCCAGGCTGTCCTCACGTGGAAGTCATGACAAAGCCTCTCTTTCCCACACTCCCTCCTCACTCTCTTTCTCCCTTTCACCCGGTTCATCTATTTGCTTTAAAATAATCCCTCAATTGAAAATTGAAAACAATTCAGGCCTTCGTCAGGATTTCGTCAGGATTTTCACTTTGTCCTGAGAACAATAGGAAACCGTTTGGCAGACTTAATTCAACGAGTGGTCAGAGCAGGTTTTCTTTTTAAGTTTATTCCCGTTGCTGCATTGAGAATGGTCTGAGAAGGAATGGACAAGAAAGATTTGGACAGTCCGGTGGTGATAGGTAAGAGAGATCATGGTGAACTGAAGAGGTGGGAGCAATAAGATAGAAGGAGTATTGGACAGGTGTGGAGAGTATTTCCAAGGCAGAATTGATAGGTCTTGCTGATGGGCTGAATGATCTTTCACCCTCTCTGCATCACCCCCTTGGGCATTTCACTTTGAAGTGTCCTCTGCCTCTGTCTCCGGACTTGACCATGTGCCTGGCTTTGGGTAATAGAATGAAGCAGAAGTGCAAGTGCGGTGCTTCTAAGTCTACAACTCGAGAGGCCTTGCTCTTGTGCTTCTGTCATCTCCACGAGGACATTCCTGAGGTGGCTACTGGCGTGGAACATACGTGGTGGAGACTTGAAGGGCCCAGTCAGCCCAGTTGAGACTCGTCTAGATCAGTGGTCGGCAAACTCATTAGTCAACAGAGCCAAATAGCAACAGGACAACGATTGAAATTTCTTTTGAGAGCCAAATTTTTTAAACTTAAACTATATAGGTAGGTACACTGTTATTAACTTAATTAGGGTACTCCTAAGGCTTAGGAAGAGCCACACTCAAGGGGCCAAAGAGCCGCATGTGGCTCGCGAGCCGCAGTTTGCCGACCACGGTTTAAACTTAAACTATATAGGTAGGTACATTGTTATTAAATTAATTAGGGCACTCCTAAGGCTTAGGAAGAGCCACACTCAAGGGGCCAAAGAGCCGCATGTGGCTTGCGAGCCCCAGTTTGCCGACCACGGACCTAACATGTTAAAGCTGGGAGTCAGATGAGCAAGTGAAAACCCACAGGTGGGGTTGGGATTTGGGAGTTGCTGACGGTCATTACCTGCCGCCGTGTTACAACCGCCCGCAGCCCGGAGTCCCCCTCTCAGGCGGTTTCCGTCGGAGGCTGCTCCTGGCGGTGGGCTGGCTGCCACCAGGGCGATGGGGACGTCAGTCAGGGTCTGGTGTGACTCAGTGGGCCAGCCAGCTTCTTCACACAAACACAGCTGAGGAGAGCCATCCACGCGCAGGCACCTGCCCCGTCTGGCACCAGTTCACGGGGTGGAGATGGCCAGCCTCTGAGCGGGCGGCCTGCAGGGTCACGGGGTCGTGTCATCGGTGTGAGGCCAGGAAGCCCGGGGCCACTCTATCACCTGCCATGATGGTCCTACAGTCCATTTCCGCTGGACGGTTACTGAAGTGTCTTCTTGCCCAGCTGTGGGAGGCAACATCTATTTTCATTCTTGCGACTTTTCCACACAGAATTCGCTACGTGATCCTCAGGGCCCAAGGAAAATGAAGATGCCACCCCTTGTTAATAACCTCACTAAGAGTGTGAGACAGCAGAGTGTTTTGTTTGTTTGTTTGTTGTTGTTTTGTTTTGTTTTTTTAAATTGTTTTATTGCTTAAAGTATTACAAAGAGTATTACATATGTCTCCTTTTTTTCCCGCCCTTGACAATCCCCTGGCCTCCCTTACCCCCCAGTGTCTATGTCCATTGGTTATGCTTATATGCATGCATGCAAGTCCTTCGGTTGGTCTCTTATCCCCCCCTCCCGCCCCCCAACCC